AAGATGGGTTGGAGGATGTTCCTTATGAATGTAACCAGGAGAGACTTCTAGAAAGAATTATCAACTAAAAATAACAAAGCATCTCTCTCTGAATTGCCTCATGTGTACGAGAAACACAAATTTCAAACCTCCTAAGATTTTCTACACACAGTCAAATGACCATTTTAATTCTAACATTTTTCTTTCCTTAATTATAGATACAATTTCTAATTATGACTTAAGGACTTGTACAAAATTGATTCTCCAGAGTTCTTTTTTTAAAAAAACATCTTATACGATGAACAGGAATTGCGATACTTGCATATTCTACTACATTTTCCAGAGATAAGCAATTGCAAGCTCAGAGTAATGTTTATCCTAAATCATGCTGGTGCTGAGAGAAGGTCGAAAAGAACAATGGTTTAATATAGAAACTGAGAACCTGCTCAGCCATGTCAAATATTTTTTCTCTGAAACTAGACTGACAAGACAGCTGAAGGCAACTATACAAAGAGAATATGTGTGACTACAGCAGAGTGTAAATTACCAGGTTAGTGATGCTTATCAAAAGATTTTTAGTATCAGCATATTTTAAATTGTTCCAAATATTTTGTGAAAAAATGTGCAAATTATCTTCTCCAGCAGATTATTTAAGGTTTTTGTACATAAAACTGAAAATTCTGTGTTTTAAATCTGGCATCAGTATTTTCTTCACAGATCTCTCTGATAATAAATATTCAAAATTAGAAAAGTAAAACATAAGAAGTTGGGAAGCTGTGAGAAGAATCATATCTTTATATGTGCATGTAGAAAAGGTAAACATGAACAAGTTTACTAGTGGACTCAGATTTAGTCATACTTGGTGTGTGTGCGCAAAGACTGACTATATTGAGCCATACACCCCTTTTTTTTATTGAGAAAGTATTATGTTTCTTTTCCCTGCAGTCAGAAGCAACAGATCCCTGGGTGTGCTTCTGTCTGCTGCTTCTGTTTAGAGAGAGAAGCAATGCAAGTAGGCTTGCATTTCTTTTCCCACAGAAAGCAGGTTTTCTTCCTTTCAGACAGAAATACAGCCAGGCTTCAGTCACTTCTACCTATAGAGAACTGACAGGGATTCATCTGTGGTAGATAGAAATACAGTCAGTTTTCCATTACTTTTATGTGCAGAAAAATGTGTCGATTTCCTTTATCAGTGAGATTTCTGTCATTTGATGGCAGCTAGCTTTAACTACTGATGGTTTTGCATTTTAAATTGTGTTATTTTATTTTATGTGTTGATAGTGGTTGTTTTGTAATGTTTATCTGATAATGTTTTTTTTACTCATGTGGTCCTCTGGTGGAGCAACGGGTTAAACTGCTGAGCTGTTGAACTTGCTGACCGAAAGGTTGGCGGTTAAAATAAGGGGAGTTGGGTTAGCTTTCGCTGTTAGCCCCAGCTTCTGCCAACCTAGCATTTTGAAAACATGCAAATGTGAGTAGATCAATAGGTACTGCCTCCGTGGGAAGGTAACAATGCTCCATGCAGTCATGCTGGCCACATGACCTTGGAGGTGTCTACGGACAATGCCTGCTCTTTGGCTTAGAATTGGAGATGAGCACTACCCCCAGAGCTGGACATGACTAGACCTAATGTCAAGGGAAACCTTTACTTTATAGTTTATACTACACCACAGTGTCTTGTAAGCCACCCCGAGTCCCTTTTGGGAGATGATGGCAGGATATAAATAAAAGATTATTATTATTATTATTATTATTATTATTATTATTATTATTATTATTTCATACTGCCACAAAATAAGTGAGTTTTGTTTCTGAGTGAACAGAACTGACTGAAGTCCAGTTGTGTTTCTCTCTGCAGAGGAAAGAGACTGACTCCTTTCTTTGGGAAGAGAGGTGTTGGCTGTGGTTAGTCAGCCTTCCCTCAGGATCTGGCATTCTGGAAGATGGCTTCTTTTAGGAGCTCAGCACAAACTATGTGCTAACGTGTAAGTCTTCCCTTCAGTTACACTCTCCTCCATGGGGCAGCAGTTGAGCAGGGGCGGTGGTAATATTTTGATGGTGTATTGTACAGGTTTTTTTCGTCTTCAGAGGGGATTCAGATATTAAACAAAAATCATATTATTCAAGGGGCCTTGGAATGGATATCTCACATAATGTCTGGGTCTACTAAACGTTCTAATGTGCTGCAGAAAATATGCATCATTTGTTCTACAGTACTGTTTGAAAGACTGCTCCTTATTAATAAAATTCTTAAATATGCTTTCATAGCTATTCAACTTGCACTTCACCATATTGATGGCTTGAATTATTGAACCCATAGTGTAATTTGTCAGTCAAATGTTCAAATTGCTTTAATTATATCCTACAAGATGCGCTTGCTGAAATTTTTATTTCTTCTAACGTTTAACCATATTACAAACTGCTGGGGCAGCTTCCTAAATTCACAGAACTTATTTGGGTTTGTTCTGATGTAAACCTCATCTCCAGTTCAAAAATTGAACAAAGTAAGGGATAAATCTGCACAAAAAAGGGAAGAATGCCCACAATTCTGTTTTGAGATGTAAAAATTGCATACATTTTGAAGCTATGGCTAGTGAACAAGGTTTTTTGTGGAGGGTGCTTAACTGAAATGTATAGAAAATTGAAGGTATTAGCACATTTTACAAACTGAAAACCATTCTGTTAATTCAAGAACATGGCATGTCATATACATAATGATACAATTATACAATTTTGTTTAGCATAACATTATTGTGTTCAGTATAATAATACAAGTACAGTTCAGTTAGATAATACTTAAAAGTGAATTCCCTCTTTAAATTGTTATTTTATATATGTTAGAAATAGAACTTTAAAAAACTTATTTGATTCTGCTGATTTTGCCACTGCGGAACATATGAAAATCAATAAAAACTGACAAATGGAAATCAAAACCCAGAATTACAACGATCAGATACTGTACACTGTCTTACATAGAAGTCTTCCTGTTATATATATGAACACCTTGTATTAAATATTTTATTCATAATTCTAAAATAGAATCATTCAAACTTTAATCTTCAGAGGGCTTTTTCTCCCCCAATTTTTCCCAGTGAGGCCACACTAGATTTCTCTGAATTTTAAAGAGGTTTTTTCAGCCCTTCACTTCCCTTATTTTGTTCCAGACCAGAAGGTACTTCTACTTTTAAAATCCTGAAAAAATGAAAAGTTAACAGACTAACCAGAGGCCAAAGTATTACTTTTCATATAGGCACGTATATATATTTCTCTGGCAACAAAGAAAGAAATACTACAGCTGTCTGCTTCAGTTTTTCAATTCTTCTCTAATATAATGAAACACTAGAGCAGGCATCTAAATGTTTATCAACGGGACTAAATCACACAGTAGTCTATTCCTAACTACAACAGAGTCACTGAAATTAATGGTATTTTAAGCCATAATTCAAACGGATTTCAGTAAGTCTACTCTACATATGAGAAAATTAGATGTAGTCCAGCAGTAGGAAGGATGCTGCCCTCCAAATGTTGTTGATCTGCAACTTTTAGCATCCTCAATATTGGTATCCCTCCTAGTGCTGCTCAAATATGCTGTCCAATTACACTTGAAAGTATATGTGATTCCCACCCCTAGTATACTGCACAGATTTACCTGCTCATATTTCTCATTACACAGAAAAAAAAGGTTACAGAACACACAACACACAAGCTACTTTTGGCAAATGTTTTCTGATGTCTTCTACAAAATATTTGCTAATAATCTATGAAATAGCCAATAGATCGTATAGGCCCTAAAAAAAAGAACGGAAATCAAAAATAGTATCTGCCTTCAATTGCACACATATATGCATGTACATATCCACTTATTCTTGGTCACCAGTAACTGTTTTTGTGCCTTCTTATGACAGATTTGTAAATAAATTTACAACAATCACAGACACACTAACACAATGCAAAATGTACCGTTATTCTATATTGGGATTTTGAGACCTACAGAGTTGCAATGCTGAGTGTTTCAAAAGACACCAATCCAGACAGGGGTCTTTGAATGTTTTACAAGGCTGAGTTCAAATCTCTGTACTCAACCATGCCAACCTCCAATAAGCTTTGCTTCTATTTCTCTGCCTACCAGTTACATGATAGACAGAGAAAACACCATCCTCTCTATACTAGGAATAGCTGGAATGAATGAATGGTTGAGAATTTTGGTTGGTGTGTTTTGTTGAGAAAAACTTACCAACAAGGAAATAGTTCCATAAATAGGATGGAATAAACTTTTTAAAAATTAAGAAATGTGGGAGAAAGTGAACCAATAGATTTATCCAGCCCAAAATACAAAGCAGCTATACAATGTCATCATAAATAAGCAAGAATTATCTTACAGCGAATTAAGACTCTGTATTTCAATTTCATTAGGTACATGATAAATATGAATAGCTTACAACACTAAGTGTTACAGTGCATAAGAACAAGATAATTAGAGAGACTAGCACCCCCAGATCACAACAAAGAGATGAAATAGTATGAATCCAACTAACTCAAAGAATGTAGTCTATGCTAATCCAGGGTTAAAATAGTGCCATACAATTCTTATATTTGTAAAAAAAAAAAGTGCAATTGAATACCATTACTGTATACCCTCATATGACAGAGCACTTTGCAGACAAATTACACATGGGAAAATCAGATAATTTCCAATGAAACTGCTATATGCCTCAATTTACAGCACACCAAGGACTTTCTTCTACAAACAGCAGGTGCAACAAACTTTTGGCATGTTGAAAAGTAGACAAGAAGAGCAATGTTTCTCTATCTAATTCGAAACAGAGACTCTTCGGGAAATCAAGACACTGAAAACTATTCTAAATTGATCCAATAGCACTAACAAAAAGGTTTACTATGCTGAATACAGAAGTTGTAAAATGGGCCACATACAATTTGCTGCCTTCAAGTTTAATCCTCTTGCAGATTTTATCAGCCCCATATATTTTGCTCAAAAGATATATGCATTTCTGAGTACTCACTTGTGCATATTTTCCACTCCTATAATGATCATGATATAGTAGGAAATTCCACTTTGTAAAACAAAATGTAAGGCATACCTAAGGGAGAAAAGCATTTTGTTAGTCTAAGAACACATTACGGTTGTTTAAAAAATCAGCAGGGAGGAATCTATGTTTTGAAATGCGGAAGTCATCAAACATAAGACACAATTGTCTATATTCATCACATGTCAACAAAGGCTGTATACAAGCACTAATTTCTCAGCACTTTTGAAGTTACTGGAGAGCTGTCATTGTCCACAATATTTGTACTCATTGTGCATCCTGTCATGGTGACAGATATACCTGTTTTGCACTGCTTCACTCTATCACAGAAAAACTGAAAGAAGCCTTGAAAAACAATCAGCACCAATGTAATACATTCTAACAACTAGTTCAAGTTGTGGCTAATATCTATGCTTCACCAGTGAATGTATTTTTTTTAAGGACAGAACAAGTGTATGTTTCCATTTTTGTCCTGTCATGTGTCTACTGCTGGGTGTAGTTGTGTCCATTTTGAAAGAATAATTAAAACAAAATCTTAACATTGTTTAGACAATATGCTCTTTGTTTTCCTTGTAACCGTTTTGCCACTCCTTGCACGGAGGTAGGGGACAAATTATAACAATAGAGTGAAATGGCTTCCTCTCTAAGAAAATTAGGTTTATCTATTTCTTCTCTATTTTCTTCACACATTTATCATCTCGCAAACGAAGAATCAAAGCAAGACCTAATAAAGAGGAAACGTCTCCCATTTCCCTGCATAAAAAAAATCACTATTTGTACACGTTAAGACAATTCTAGTAAAAGGCCATCAACACTTTCTCTACAATCTATGTATTATTGTCGTGTGCCTTAAAGTTGTTCCCAACTTTTGGAAACCGTACGATGAATGCATCACAGAGTTTTCTTGGCAAGATCTGTTCACAAGAGCTTTGCCTTTGCTAGGGCTCAGAGAGCATGACTTATTTACTGTTCATTTATTTAAGGCATTTTTATATCACCTCCCAACACTCAAGAGCTCCACTGCCTAAGGTCACCCAGTGGATTTTTATGGCCGAGAAGAGATTTGAACTTTAGCTGTGCTCAAATCACTACCCCATGCTGTGTATTGGTTCTTGAGTGCCTAAGAGATTTCCTATTTATGGAGACCCCATCACAAAACTTTCTTAGCAAGACTGGTTTATAGGGAAGTTGCCTTTGACCTTCTCTAAGGCTGAGAGCATGTGCCCAAGGTCACCCAGTTGGTTTCAATGGCGTAGACATGTTAAAATGATATTTATGATTTATAACAGCCTTTTCTCCAAAGAGTGGAATATCCATATATGCAATCACAGACAATAAAACATAACACTATAAATTTACATCCCTGGTGGTGCAGCAGGTTAAACCGCTGAGCTGAACTTGCTGACCAAAAGGTTGGTGGTTCGAATCCTGCGAGCGGATGAGCTCCCGCTGTTAGACCCAGATTCTGCCAAACTAGCAGTTCAAAAACATGCAAATGTAAGTAGATCAATAGGTTCCATTTCAGCAGAAAGGTAATGGCACTCCATGCAGTCATGATGGCAACCTGGCCTTGGAGGTGTCTACAGACAATGCCAGCTCTTCGGCTTAGAAATGGAGATGAGCACACACACCCCCCCCCCCCCAGAGTCAGACATGACTAGACTTAATGTCAGGGGAAACCTTTATCTTTAATAAATATACATGGTAAATGTTTCCCCTAACATTAAGTCTAGTCGAGTCTATTTTCTTCATCAACAAGAGTCTGACTCTTGTGGGTGGTGCTCATCTCCATTTCTAAGCTGAACAGCCGGCATTGTCTGTAGACACCTCCTGGGTCATGTGGCTGGCATAACTGCATACATAATATTCTGTTTTTTTGTAAACTGTACTTTGTTCCAGATGGGATGGAAAGACATCTGAGTTATATTCATAACACACTTCCAATTCATCTATTGTGGTGTTCCTTGTTTAGAAAACACATTTCAAGAATTCAGGGTTTTCAGGTTATAAAATCTGGTATTATGGACATGATCCAGGGAGGAATACTTTTAGATGTTGCTTAATTTTCCATTTTGAATTAGCGCTTCACTATGCCCAACAAAAACTTTTCACAGTCGTGAAATTTCTGAAACAGCAGCAGCACAGAAAATGCTAATCCAAAGGAAAGAGAAAGTTTTTAGTTCAGTCTTCTACCCCGGCATACCAGTTAGCCAAGTAGAAGTATTTGTGGGGGAGAATCAGCCATGTGTCCAGAAGATGCAGACCATACTTTATGTTGCTTCTCAACATTTGTACTTTGTGCTCTACTGTCCAGTACAGAGATACAGATATTAGGATGTAAAAGGTTATCTGAGCAAAAAGAAATTATTCTTAAAGAAGCAGCAATGTCATATTGCATGACAACCTCTGTTAAGGACACTTATCACCGCATTACATTTCTCTGTCCAACCATTGTGGAGAAAACTGCACCATGCAAGCTAGTGCACTAGATGGAAAAAACTGTACAATTCAAAACAAGAGGGAACAAAGTGTATGGCAAGACATGTTGATATAGCAGAAAAGATAATTTTCTTTATCAACAAGAATTCTCAATTGAAGAACATAAGACTAATTCACAAAAAATCATACTTTGAATGCTTTAATCCAATAGTCTACTAGCTTTGAAATTATTGTATTTTCTGGTCTATAAGACTACTTTTTAACCCAGGAAAATCTTCTCAAAAGTCGGGGGTTGTCTTATACGCCAAGTGTCATCTTATAGGGCAGGTGCTGAAACTTTTGAGCAGGACTGGAGAATCTATGGTTGCCACATATGGTGTGGGGAGCTAAAAAAACATCTGCTGCTATATGCGGTGACTGTATGAAAACAGCAAGAGCAGTACTGTACAAGTATGGTAGAAGAAAATCCACTCACCAGGATTCGTGGAAATAAATGACTTAACACGGTCCCAATGACGAGGTGAGGGGCACTTCACCAGGAAGGTGTAAGTGAAGGGCAGAGCAAGCTGCTGGCATCTGAGACGCCCAAGGTATGGAAAAAAGAGATGGAGAGATGGTATGCCTAGAAAAACACACCTCTTTCACCCGTCTGGCCTGCCCTTCTATCCTAGTACCGTACCTCCTTATCTGCTTCTCAGATCTTGCTCCTGAGAACTGCAGTGAAGCGGCGCAGGCAGGCATGTGCAAGATCTGAGGCAGAGAAGGAGGTACGGTAATAGGAAAATTACCACATTGAAATCAAATCTGATGTTTTTAATTTTTTTATCTGGTGTGCATTGGCAGAGGGGTAGTCTTATATGGACAGTATATTCCAAACTCTACATATTAACTGGAAAAGTTAGGGGTCGTCTTATACGCCCAGTCATCTTATACACCAGAAAATATGGTACCTTTACCCACCAAAGAGATACCAACCAAAATTTCTCAGGAGACCCTTACAAATACGTTTATGGATTACAACAATTTGCCATCCATGAGGATCTGTGCTAATGTATATTCGAACAGTATTGGTGGAGACACATGTGATTCACATTTGAATGAAGTACTCACATGGAGGAAACCTACATTGGATTATAAAAGTTCTATGCCACTTTAAATCAAGATTGTAAAGCAGTTTGAATAATTGAGGGCAGTAAAACAGTAATCCAGACAGAGTTTAGAAAGAACGCTTGTATAGTATGAAAAAGAAAAAAAAACTTACCATCCAAAACAAAAAAGTGCAAGATAAAGGCCCAAAAGGGTGGCAACTAGGTGCCTTATAAACGGGCTAGTTTTGCTTGAATGAAGATAAGTTCTAAACCAAACAGCAGCAAGCAAGGCAAAAAGTTGGCACACTACGAAGTTGACCTGCAAAGAAAAGAAAACTATTATTCATATCAATATGTGCTGTAACCTGTAAATTTATTCTACTTGCATTCCAATGAAAAGGCCAAATATATATCATATAAAATCCATCGGTTATAAACTTTTGTTTATTTCATCCTTACATGCAAAAATTAATCATTGAGCAAGATTAAAAGAATTTATTTTAATTTATGTTTTACTCTATTTCTTTTCTCTTTTTTTGCCAAGCATTGCTTGTAGAAAATGTAGACTGAGAATAAAAGACTGGGGGGCGGGGGGGGGCGAAGAAATACAGTAAATGTCACTTTCTGCTTTTTATCAGATTAGAGATTTTGTCATGATTTTCAATCTGAACAAGCCTTTAACTTTTTATATTGTTATATTAGTATAGATTTCTTAAGGCCTTCCTCCCTCTCAATCTTTTTGTGCTCAATCCTGCCAAACTAAATTCAAGGCAATATATTCCAGGTACACATTACAGTGAGCCCTCAGTAAGAAATCACATGTAATCCTTATATTTAGATCAAATTACATCACAAAATGCTGAAAAATTAGTTTATGGAGCATAACGAACATCTTTGTTGGTAATATCCTGCCATCTAAAGACAGATATCATGCATTAGAAACTCTGAAATAGACATATTAGAGCTTTAGGTATGCCCTACTAAGTCTAAAGATCAGAAATCCCTTGAAAAAAACACTGAAAAAGTTTATTTCTGAATTCATTGGGCAGTACCACAAGATGACACTTTTGACACTGTTAATTGGTCTTTGGAATTGAATCTGTGTTCTCCAAGTGATTGGAGAAAGCCTTTTAATATTTCCTTTTTACTCTAAAAAGAAACAATGAAGGGAGACAATGTTCTCCTTTGATCTGCTGCTTTAATCAATCATAGTGTTTACTGCAGAAAGCAGGTCTGAAAATAACATGTATGACATTTTATTTGTCATATATTCTGTTTGACTGCAAGAGGGTGAGGCAAGAACGTGGAGATGACAGAGCTTATGGAAATGACTGAAGAGCATCATACTTACAGTTAGGTTTCAGAACAGAACTATTTACCGTATTTATGCAAATCTAAGGCACACCTTTTTTTGGCTAAATGACCATGACAACAATGTGATGTACATTACATTCACGTAATACTGTAATGCTAGTAGAAGGCTTGGACTTCGGGCGATCCAGCCTACCTGACTGTCTCAAGTTGCCTCCTCCTCTACTTTTGGGGCTTGGCTGGTAAGGAGAGAAGGCCTGCTGCTGCCAGAGCTCTTCAGGAGGGAGGGTGAGGGAGGGGAATAGTGGCAGCGGGGGGATGGGGGACAGCAGGAGCAGGGGCAGCAGAATGGAGCCACGGAGGAAACCCTTCCCCTCCCCCTCACCCTTCCTTCTCTCCTTCCTCTTTTTCTTCTCCTCCTCCTCCTCTCTTTTTCCTTCTTCTCTTCTTCTGCTTCCTCTTCCTATCCTCTTGCTCCTCTTCTCTGATGTTCTGCTCATCATAGCCAAGGATGCAGCCCCAGCCACCCCTTTTCTCTGATGAGGTCCTCTCCTTCACTCGTCAGGGCCATACCATCAGCTCTGCGCCACAAGGCTGTGCCATCCCCTCCCCAAGCCCCGCTTCTTGGGCCAAGTCAAACATGTTTTGCTGCAACTCCTGCCAGGCCTCCTTTGTCCACAAAGTCAGTGGGGGGCTTCAAAATGGACAATAGACTCTCCTCTCTCCCGCCTCTGGCTTTCTGAGTCTCTGGTCCAGGTACAAAGTCGATGTAATCCCCCCAAAATGCACCCTTGGGTCCCTCATTGACTCTCTTTAAAAATGGCCTTCCTTCAGACATTGATTAGGGAGTCATCCTTCTTAGGTGCCACTGGTTTCAATGGCGCCACTGGTCCTGTCTCCACCCAGGGGCTAGCATCCCAAGTTCCATCTTGAGCAGCATCCCTACCATTGAGTCCCTGGGCACCAGTCTTGTTGGCAGGAGGCAAGGGAGACATGAGGGAAGTGGCAGTCCTCTTGTTCCAACCAAGTTGAAAACACATGTCCCCCAACCCTTTCCAGAAACATTTAAAGCAGGAGAAATGTGGAAGTCTCCAATGCTCTGTCCCATCCATCTCCCTTTGGGTTAGGAAATTTATCTCTTTGCTTCCTGGCAAGCAGGGAGGCTGGACCGCACTCCTGATGACTCTCCTGTGAGCGTGCACATGAGCTCGCCTGCCTTTTTCCCCTTTCTTTCCTGTTCTTTCCACCTTTCCTTACTTTTCTTTTTTTTCTTTCCTTCTTTCTCTTTCCCTTCCACCCTTCCCTCTCTCCTCCTTTTCTTTCTTCCCTTCCTCCCTTCTAGCCTCTTATCATCCATTTCTCTCTTCCTTTTTCTTTCTTAACTATCTCTTTCATATCTTCGTTCCATCCCTCCTTCTCCCTTCCTTTTCTTTTGTCTCTTACTATCTTCTTTCACTGTCACCTCCTTTTTTTTCTTTTCCTCTCATCCTTTTCTTTCTTCCTCCTTCCTTCTTCTTTTCCTTCCTTCCTTCCTTTTCTTCCTTCCCATCTTTTCCTTCCTCCTTCTCTTCTGCTCTCTTTCCTTTTCTTACTTCCGCTTTCCATCCTCCATCCATCTTCTCCTTTCTTCCTTCTCATCCTACTTTTTTCCCCTTCCATCTTCCCTCTTTCCAATTGACCTTTGTCTTCTTTCCCTTCCCATTTTGTCATCAAGGGTTACCTGATTCTCTGGTGTTACTTTCCATTGCTGGAAGGTTTGGTGATCTAACACTTTTCATTTTTGAAGAAAGAATTCTAAGCACACAGCAACTGTGATATACACCTTAATTACAAAGAGTGCACTTTTTGCCACTGCACATTGCATTCACCAGCAAATACTTTTTTTAGTTTCAGGGATTTGAAAATTGAGGTGTGCATTAGATTTGATGGTGCACTATATTTGAGTAAATACAGGTATTTCTTAATGCACCTTTCCCTCATCAAACTCTATGGTTAGCTCAAAGAAGAAACATTCTGGATTTATGAAGCAAATACTTCATATGCCCCTTTGTTGCTCACAATTTTTTCCCTTCAATAGGTCTCACATCTAGAAATAAAACAAGCAAAGAAGAAAAACTGCCCACTGAGAAAGGTAACACAGGAAGAAATGACAATACAAGGATAGGAAGAATCCTTTAATTGATTCTTCCCTAAAAAATAACACACTACATCCCCTCTTTTATGTTACCTCAGCAAACATAGGTCTGGGGGTGTATTATGAAGCTAAGAAATTAAGTATTCATCCACCTCAAGGAGTTCTATAAAGCAAATGTTATCTTCTCTCATATTTCTATCCAGAAAAAAATATAATAAACGTTATGGAAAACTTTTGTAGCCCGTACACACATGCACACACACACCCACAAAGGTGGATTAATACAAAATGTGTGTTTTGTCTAAATCTATATGCATCTTATTAGTAGGGAAGCAAACTGACTTCAGGGAAATTAACAAGAAAAGCCAACTGTTCAAGAGCTCAGAATGAGAGAGGCAAATAAGTAGCTAATGTGAGCACATTCCTCTGTGGTCAAGCATCTCAACAATGAGTCCTTGCCATGGCACAACATAATAGCAAATAAACAAACAACCCCCCAAGCACGAGTGGGTACACATTCAATACAATTCCAGCCTACACAAGATAACGACAGTGCTTGCTGACAAATGGTAAAAGCCCATCTCAGAAGAAAATACTAAGTAATTTGTGGTTTTTCCTTCCTCTCAACAGCTTTCAGCAGTTAAAGACTAAGTAGATCAAACAGACTGTACTTCTCATGAGACTCAAGGGAGAAGGTCACTGTATTTGTTAGGCATTGTAACATTCTTCTGCTAAAAGAAATCTCCCCACACAAACCATTTCTCTCATTTGCCCTAGAAACAGATAAAACCCGTTTAGCTTACCAATGTCATTTCATTTGGCTGATTCTTTATGGCATCATCAGCCAGCACAAAGCTTTCATTTCATTTGGCCTAGAAACATTTAGCTTACCAATACCATTTCATTGGACTGATTCCTTATAGCATCATCAACCAGCACAATAGCTTAACAATCAAGGATATATAATATATATGAATTTTGATGCAGCTAAACTGCTTAAGAGGTGATTTTAGACCCAATCATTTCTACTGAATTGACTCAGCAGCTATCACATGGAAACAGTCAAATGCCTAATTTTACAAGCCTGGAGAGCTACTATATATTAAAACTGTACTGGCAAAGTCTGAAAGCTTTTTGATGCTGGCCTTGTTGCAACTAGAATCCAGAACATAAGCTACTATTTGACGCTGTTAATTTGCCGAAGACCTAGCAAATCCTTAAAATAAACACTGTATTAAAATTAACAAGCCAAATTCTTCCAGTGTTTAACATTCAGCATAAACCCTCCATTTGTAAAGGAAAGTGTGCATTGTATTATACTGCTGTTTAAAATATCACCACTGCACCATGCTTTGATAAATGTTTATCCATATACAGAAGGTAAAGAGAGTAATAAACTTAAATTCGCATTTTAAATTACTTTTTTTCAGAACAAACATTTTCTTCTTTGTGAACGTATTTACTACAAGAAAGTTAACAGTTCTCAAACTTTGCAATTTATTTGTAGATGCCATATAATTCCTGAGCATGCATTCCCTAAGGATACTAGGAAAGGATACTAGGAAAGTGGTTTGAAACTTATATAAACAGATGCTGTTGGACTTCAGCTCCCAGAAGACCCATATAGTACAGTCAATATTCAGGGATTCTGGGATACATACTCCAACAGCATCTATGGACATAATGTTGGAATCTACGACTTCGGAGCACTCGTTTCTGGTACCTAGTGAAGGCTGGTTGTTTCCATATTAGTGAGGCAGTGAATCCACTGGTTTAGCTGCGTTGACTTTTATGGTAGGATCCGAGGTGCTAAACCCTATCATCCCAATAGTTTCAGCATCATGTATAGCTCCTTTCAAATTCAGATTAAAACC